GCCTTTGTCCTCAAGGAGCCCGTGGAGAACTAGCTGGTGGCCACTCCAGTAATACAGTGGGGTAAGTACTAGGTGCTGTGGGAGCCCTTAGGAAAGAGCACTTAACCAGCCTCAGGGCCCAAAGGAAGGCTTCCTGGAGGTGGTGTCCTCTGGTCAGCTTTCTTGACTGTCCATTGGGCTTCAGGGAATCGAAGGGGTAGCAAGTAAGATAGGTGTTTGCAGAGAGAGATCATGGTGGCTCACCTACTTTCTGAACCCCCCAGCCTTCACGGCCCAAAAATCCAAGCTATAGGCCCAGGCTGGTCAAGGGCATGGCAAGTAGGCTGAAGAAAGTCCTGCAGAGAAATGGAGGTTGTTCTGTGGCCTTTCCAGCCACCTCCTGGAACATGAGCCTATTTTGCAACCCAGTAAGCTAGGCCAAATATGTGGGGTTTGGCCCTAGCTCAGCCAACCCTGCTCCCTAAGCAAATATCAAGGGATTTTCTCCCCCTTTTCTTTCTAAACTAAATCCTCTCTGGGTGCATAATTTATAGAATTCCAGTGAACTGTAGTTTCTTCCCAAGAAAGACAGACGTCTCCTCAGATTTTCCACACACCCACCGCATCCCGCTGGCCCAATGCCAGGACATCCCAGCAAGGCTGGGGCAGGGCCACTGTGGCTCTGGAGGAAGGCAGGCACGTACCATCACCCCAGGGGCAGCATGGGCAGCAAGTTCAGGGGTAGCTGCAGCAATCACACAGGTGGGTGTTCCGTACAGGAGTGGAGGGTGGGAAATAGGTGTGTGGTGGGAGGGTGGGCAGGAAATCGTGCAGACAACAACGCTGTTAGGAACTATGCTGGGACCAGAAGAGCCCGGAATAGCTTATCAGTGTTTACAAAACACTTCCTCACCTAGGTTGAGTCTCTTAACAGCTATGTGATGAGGCTAGGACACATATAATTACAATTCCCATGTAATTGATGCATTGCTGAAGAGAATGGAACCGGCAACCTGAAATTAGCCTGACCCAAGTTAGAATTCCACTTTTGCCATTGCGTGACCTTGGGTAAGTGGCAAAATGTCTTGCAGACTTATCTGTGTATAAGGGGTAATGGCAGGACTTTCCCTAAGGGGTCTTGAGGGTTAAATGAGATCCTGTATTCGAGGAGCCCACCCCATGCTTGGTCCTAGCAGATTCTATTAGGATGGCTGGAGAGGTTTTCTGACTCCTGTGGGTGCTGCTGGGATTGCTGGTCAGGTGTTTGTTACTCCCAGCATGGCCTTGCCCCAGGTACCCGTGTGCCCACCAGGCTGGTCCATCCCCCAGCAGAGGCCAAGAGCTTTGTGAGGTTGGCTGTATGTGTTCCTGGCTCAGAGCTTTGGGCTGATAGCTTAGTCTGAAAGTCCAGAAGGCCAGTCCAAATGCCTGACATGCTCTGGGGCAGCAAACAGCTCTAGAAACCGCATAGCTGGTGAAACTTAAGCTTCAGAACATCAACCTCAGTTTATGATCTGCCTGTTTCCTCTTATAGTCAAGGGCCAGCATCCAAACCCTCCTTCATTTATCATTGTCATTGCCGCTCAGAAAGGTCAGCATGCATTAATCTCTGTTGCCTCCAGCGACTTGGCTCTCAGCAGTGATTCAGACTTCGTGGCTGAGCCTCACGGGCAGTAGCTCTCTCCAGGCCTGCACAGGGAGTTGTCAGGCCATGCCGCCTCTCAGGGGCCAGGGCCTATGTCATCACTGCATATGTAAAAACAGCATTTCCTCATCTGGGGCAGACCCACATTCTTCCCCAAGGAAAATTCTACAACTTCTACAACTATTCCCTCTGCCTGGCATCCTCTTCCTCATCATTAGCTGCTTCTCCTCATTCAGTTCGCAGCCTGAGTGTGGCTTCCTTAGGGGCCTCGTCTGGCCATCCTGTTGAAAGTGGCTCCACCCACCCCATCCAAGGCACTTGTCTAGCTCATCATCATTCTTTACCTTTTCCTTGGTACTCCTCACTGTCTGAAGTTAGTTCTCTGTTTATTGTCTTTGTGAATGGAATATAAGCACCGGGAGAGCAGGACCTGTCTCGGTCATCATGGCATCCCCAGTGCCTGGCATACAGCAGGGGCTTAGTAATTACTTGTTTAATGGGTAAATGAAGCAAACTGAAGATCACGGGGTCCACTGTTCTCATTTTGCCAAAGAGAAAATTGAGGCCCGGAAGGGTTAAGATGCCCGATGTCAATTCGCTCGTGTCAGACATCCTGCTGCCATGAGCTCTTTCCCTAGTAGCCTTTTCCTCAATTCTCAGGGGTCTCTGGGACCAGCATATGGTAATGGTCTGTCCTTCTGTTTAGGAGGAAGGACTATTTACTGTTCTGAAGTGTTACAGCACCAAAAATATCCAATGTGCACCCTAATAAGCTAAAGGACAGTTTGTTTACTTGGGCTGAAAATGGGAAACATGCAGGTGCACATATAAACACCCTGAAAAAATTAAAATGGGCTGACATGTGGGTAAGGAATGATTATAAAAAATGATGTCATCTGGTTGGTCTCAGCTAGCCAGGGAAACACAACTGGGGTCAGAGCTCTTCATGTAAGAGGAGACATTTCCCCCTTCAGATTCTGTAGGAAGGATACGTGGCTGACGAAGAGTCACCATGGGGTAGTGGGCTGGACATCCTCACAGAGCAAAGTGAGGACTAACTCTGAGGAGACATGTAAAGGGTCCAGTACAGTCAGGGGTAGTTCTGTGATCATCCCTAAAGATGGATTATTCTAGCTGAGGACTCGCTTGCTTCCATGTTTCACTGACTCCCACTGGTTTCTCATATTTATCCCAGTGGAGATGACAGGAGATGACTCATACCAAGGAGCAAAATGAGCCAGTGTGCTTGCCCTGGTAAAAGCTTAGGTAGAGCGGTAAGAACCTAATCATAATTATATAACAGCCACTATTTATTTTATGTTATACCCTCTACATCCCAGACAATGTATTAAGGGCTTAGGTATATTACCTTGTTCAGTTGCATAAGGGTTGGAACTTATTTTGTCCTGCTTAACACATAGGGAAACAACCACCCAATCCTATGAGGAAGGAACTATTTTTATTTCTATTTGATGAATGAAAAAAAGTGAAACTTGGAGAGGTCAAGTGGCTTGCCCAAGGTTACTTAGCTGGTCAAGGACAGCCAGAATTCCAGCTGTGGCACAAGGTCTGAGTGCAGAAGTGACACAAAGTGCACAAAACAATCCAGTGATGTAGGAGGCTGGAAGAGACGGCCACAGTAAATTGGCGGTGGCAGGGTTTCGGTGACTGGCAGTTGCCCACTTTGTCTCTGGTCCTATGCTTTTCATAACTGACTCTCAAATACATCTACCAGGAATTCACAGGGTGCCTAGTTATAAATTAAAGGAAGTGGGTGTTAAGAGGACACACCTGGAGCAGCACAAATCGCTGTCATAATCTTGATCATCCAGTGAAGTGGAGTTCCAACCACCAGACATTCTGTCCTCCCAGACCGCTGCCTTGCACCTGAAAGACAGGATTGCATCTTATTTGTCCTGGATGGAATGAAAACGTGTATGTGAAAGCATCTGGCTCAGTTCTCCTTGTCCAGCACCTGGCACAAAGCAGGCACTTGATTGCAAGATACTCCCTTCTTACCTTTATTTCCCTAATGCCTGTCACAGTAGTTGGCACATAGGAGGTACTTAACACATATTAGTTGTTTGTCATTTTTTTTTACCAGTAAGCACATATTACTTAATAAAAACTAATATTTATTGAGGCTTCATGCTAAACATTTCCAGGCACTATCACTTCTGGTCCTTACACTCATCTAGTGAAGTAAGTAAAGTTAACACTGACATTTAACAGTGGGATTTCCTTCAACAGAAGAGAAAACAGCCTTCTATATGTTACATACTTTGCCCAACTACACTGAGCTATTGAGCATGTAAGTGGCAGACCCAGAGGTTTGAATGAATGAGTTCTCAGAAGTGATCGAGGAAGATGAATGTCTGTCACTCTCTAAGTGATTTGTGGGACATGGCTGGAAACTTGGCATTTCTTAAAAATCTTAATTTCTTTTAAAGAAATCCACACTATCTTTGCTTTCTAATATGCCCATGGTTAATTCAACCTAAATTAGTGTTTTAAACCATTGACCAGTTTAATAACTTACCTTACCATCTCCCCTAATCTTCATATTAACTGATGCTTCAGAAAGATGCATCCTATTTGCTTTGTGACTTCCCATTCTTCTGGCGGACTACATGGGTACACAGACTCCAGGAAAGCTGGAGGAATTCTCATAAGCTTCCTGGGAAGGATGAGTTGTGAAATAGAATTTAAGTTACTGGCAGAGGAAAATATGGAACCTAGATTTTACAGCTCTTCCTCCATTCATCCCCTGCCCTTTACCCCTAAATCTGTTCTCACTTCATCCCCTAGAAGAGCAGAGCAGGGGCCCATTGAAGAGTTCAGAATGTATAGGAAGTTTATTCCTATACATTCTGGCAAATAAATGAATTGGAATCAGTGATGGGCATCAGAATCCCCTTGGAAAGGCCAATGGTTTGACAAGTAGTCTTACCACCTTCTTTCTAGACCTTCTTAGGCTGTTATTGATGGTGCTGTGATTCCTAAATGGCAGCCTCTTCTGCCACTAGTCCTGGGCACTCATAGTCAATTGGGAAGATAACTTGGAGGACCCTCGAGGTCTTCTAGTCCATGCTTCCCATTTTACAGAGAAGGAAATTCAGGCACAGAGAAGAAAAATGAATGACACAGGGTTACATGATTTGGTGGAATTGTTCATTGCTTAACCAACATCAATTTCCTACTCCTTGTTCCTTCCTAGCAGGACCTCAATTTTATTGGATATTGAGCAGTGATGGTTTCAGGGAAGATATAACCTACCATTTTCTGTCCCCAGAGAATTAATCTTGATTAGTTTAAGCCAAATCATAATAATTCTATCTTCTTTGTCAGTGACTGGTTTGGGGATAAGTATGTGACAATGTGATACAACTCGAACCGAAGAAACATGAAGGGAAGCCTGTTCACAGAAGCTTTTGGAAAAGTTTTCTTCCATCTCTGAGTAATGATAGCAAAGGATGACTTTGGAGTTTATTGGAGTTGTTACAACCAAGAAGGGTTATGTGGAGGACCAATGACACACTGTGGATGACAATGATGTGAACAATGAGCCTGAGCTCGTGGTGGTGCCTTTGAGGCACTGGATCAACCACCCCTGACACTGTTCCACCTCTGGACTTCTTGGCAATTGAGATAACATAGTGTCCTTATTGTTTACTTGGATTTTCTGTTATCTGTCACCCAAAGCATCCTTACTGATACACATGACCAGGTAGGATCAGATTTCCAGTTCAGTGTTTGGGATCACTCCATATAGTGAGGGTATAAAAAAATGTTTGGGATTGTTTACTGAATAGCAGCTAGCTTATGCTCCTGCATAAAACTGGGGCTTTATTTGAACTTGAACCTTGGGATCAGTAAGATCAGGGTTGGCTTCATGAGACAGGAAATGCAAAATAAGAATTTTCACCTCTAGGGTTTTATTCTTTCACATAATACTGGTTGTGGCAGTTCCAGGGAGTCATCAGGGACCCAGACTCCTGAGACCACATCTCTGATTCATTGTTTCTAGGGTGTGGCTTTCACCTTCATGACCAAGACTGATGCGAGAGATCCATCATCAAACCCATGTCCTGACAGCCAAATACAAAAGTAGGATGAAATAGGATTTTATTGTTTGTACTGCCCCTTCTCATCTCTTCTCTCTTTTCTCAAATACCAACATAGGCACTAAAGTAGGTTGTAGAGCCCACTATATTTCAAATTTACTATTCTGATGTATTAGTGCTTGATAAATATTTGTTTCTGATGATAAGAACATATGACATCTTTTGCATTCCAGCTTCAAGTTTGGTATAAGAAAAATGACAATTGTCATAAGCTGAAGAACACAACCCCCTTGAAAAGAGGCATTGTTATTCAGATCCAGCAAATTGTTGCCAGGTAGGAATACAAGTTCCATGTCACTAACTCCTGCATTATTTAATAGAAGCTAAAAAAATTTGTATTTTACTATTAAATGCTGTTTTTAAATATTAGATCAATATTGTGTGTATGTTGGGTTGGGAGCACCTTGAGGTCAAATTTTGTTTCTGATTAATTTGGCAGAATCTGGAATATAATGGGGACATAATAGCTGTTGAATGAGGGGGTTGGACAGGGCAGGGGAGAGCAATGGCAGGGAGGGAGTGGGGACAACTGTAATTGAACAATAATAAAACAAAGATTTTCCAATTGCTTCCTCCCAGGAGACTGAATGAAACATCTAGAACAACTGGTAAAAGACAAACTCATGTATGTCTTCATCGTGTATATGTTCATTGTTCCAGTGTTTTATTTCTCTCTCCCAAAGTGGAGTTTAAGCAACTCAAAGGCAGAGATTGTGTTATTCATCCTATCAGCCCCTTCCTTTTAAAGGGGAGTTTTCCAAAGTTCCACATGATGCTCCCACTTATATCTCAGTGGGTAGAATGTCGTTATTTTTGTGGGAACCTGGAAGTTCAGTCTTTTAGTTTGATGGTATTACTTGGCTAAAAACTGAAGTTCTTTTACTAATGAAAAAGGGGAGAAAGATATTGGGAAGCAACTAGCAGTTTCTTCCACATGACCCCGAAGAGAAAGTTAAGGGCACTACAGTTGGCTGTCACTGAATTCTGTGCTGAGGTAAATAATATGGATTATGGGATGTCAGAGCTAGAAGTGATCATAAAGGCTTCTGGTCCAGTTCACTCACTTTGCATGTAGGGCATTTGAGGCCCAGAGTAACAAAGAGATTTGCCTAGGGTCATATGATTTAAAAAAAAAAGAAGTCCTTCTAATTCTGTCTTGAATCCATTGTCTCTACCAACTCTTATTCATGTTCATGTCTCAGCCCTCAGCCCTCACTGACTCCTCCCTGCCATTGTGATGCACCCAGGTGTTCTCGCCTCACCACCAGCCTCTGAAACTGGCACCATCTCACCCTCTTTCCTAATAGTCTCCACTAATGTCTTTCTTAGTCCCTCCAGCCCAAGGATCGCTCATAATTTTCATCTGAGGGAGCAGCTATTAGTGGTTGATAGAGGCTTCTGGAGATGGTCTCCCATGGATAATTTTGAGGGCTCATTGGGAAAGATTACCAGGATCGATGAATGACATCATTGTGGCTGTTGCTCAAGAAATGGAGACTCTTGGGGCAAAAATTTGTTGTCTGAACCCTGGTTTCTTTCCTTTTAGGGGTGAAGAAAAAACCTGCTTGGACTTTTTCATAGTACACGTGGCACTCACATGTGACAGCCCTGTTCCTACAGGCTGAGTGAACCTCCTACCATGCTGCAGTCACCTGCAAGTGGAGTGAGCAGTGGTGTGACTGCTCACATATCAGAAGCTCAAGGCCACCTGTCACCTTGTGCCCAGGATGCAACAGGCCACTGGGGCAGGCCCATCTGATACCGTCTTGCATAAGAAAGATAACTCTTATCATCACTCCACAAACTGAACTCGTAAATATAGACAGGATTAGGTTGTGATCAGTGCCCTGGAGTTGCCAAGACAGTGAATTCCAGTGACAGCTCTGTCACAGGCCAGATACTAAATATATCTTCCTCATAGTGACAAGGACAGGGTTGGGAGTACACGTGATTCTTCCCAGTCACAAGGGGAAAAGCCCCAACCACTGTGCTCTTAGAGTCTATTCCTGAACCAGGCTAAGGCCCAGACTGAAAATAGATTCCCTGTGTCCCGGCCACCTACCCTACTTGTGGCCTCCAGATAGGATACCATGTATCACGTACTAAAAAGCAGGTAGGAAGCTGTGGAGGAGGTGGCAGGACTCCTGGGCTTGTCGTGAGAGAATTCCTTGTGTCAGGGTGGGTGTACCTTCTACCTGCCTCCTGGACTATGGGAAAAGGAGGGAGCTCTGGGCTGGAGGGACTGAAGGGGAGGCGGGGCTGAGGGTGCTCCCTTGGCATGTGCCAGTCTGCAGAAGGTGCCAATCTAATTCACTCCTAAGCAAGTCAATGGCTGGTGACTTGTATGTGGTCAGATGTGCTCATCCCTTCCCTAATACTTCATTTCTTCAAATAGCATGTGTCCATTAGCCAGCTCAGTTAAAATTTTAATTTCACAGGTATTACATGAATAATTTTTGCAGTAAAAACCTTCTAACAATACAGAAGCATGTTGAGAAAAAAGAAAAATTCCATTTTTCTTTTATCTCTCTCCAATTGTACCTCTGTATCCAGAAGCAGCTGCGATCCACAGTTTGATACGTATCTTCCACACTTTTTCTATGCACACAGCATACAACACAGCACAATACCTGCAACACACACAATCTAGCACAGTATAGTGCAGAAGGTTAGTACATTGAGCAGGTCCTCAAACATCATTTCATTACAACATTGATGAGAAAAAAATGGTGGCAAGGCCATGGTCTGGGTGGCATTTGCACTTTCTCCCATGTCTGTGTGGGTTTTCTTTGGGACTCCTGTCTCCTCCCACATCCCAGGGATGTGCAAGTGAGATGAATTGGCATGTGTCCATTGCCCCAGTCTGTGTGGGTGTGGTATGTGTGTGAGTGGCCCTGTGAAGGAAGGGCATTGTGTTCGGGGTGGGTCCCACCTTGCTCTTTGGGCTGCTCACACAGGCTCCGGCCACTGGGACCCTGAACTGGAATAAACAGATTGGAAAATAATGATCTTGTTTGTAATAATGTCTCTTAAATGTATGCATAGCTTACATTTATTTCAATATTTTAGTATTAGAATGTATTGTGTCTTTATTTAGAAGTTTGGTGATGTGTTTTGTGACCAGACATATGCTATAGAAAATTAGCTCTTGTTTATATTAATTAGCCTATGATAAAATTGGTTTTATTATGTCATTTCTCTAAAGTCACAGTTCCAAGAAACTACTGACAACATTGTGAAGACTTACATAGTATAAGAGTATAGTATAGTAGAGTAGAGTGTAATATAGTATAAAAGATTATAAGTAATCACCCTAAATTGCCTTAACTTTACCTTTTTGGGCTAATTACCTTGTTTCTCAGTGCCTTAGTTTCTTTCTCTGTCAAATAAGGATAATATTGGTCTCTAGTTTTCAGGATTGTTGTGAAGATTAAATTTTGGTATTTTTAAAACAGTGTGACTAACACAGAGTAAGAGTTTGAGTTTTATTACAGATGCAAATAAAGAGGTCATATTAGTTATACATTATTGCATCTCAAATTATACCAAAACTTAGCGGCTTTCAATGGCAAACATTTATGATCTCACAGCTCCTGTGGGTCAAGAATTCAGGAGCATAACTCAGGGTCTACTGTATGTGTGGATGTTGGCAGGCACTACAATCATCTTAAGGCTTGAGTGGATATGTGGAAACTTCTTACAGGATAGCTCACTTATATGGCTGTTGTCAGGGGGCTTCTGTTTCTTGTCACATGGATACCTCCATAGGCTGCTTAAGTGTTCTTATGACGTGGGAACTAACATCCCCCAGAGTGAGCAATCTAAGAGAGATTGAGTGAGGAGGAGGCCACAGTACCCTTCAGGACTTGGTCTCTGATGTTGATACCACTACTTCTGCTTCATTCTGTTCATTGGGAATGAGTCACTAAATCTAACCCACACTCCAGGGGAGTGGGGTTGAAGGGATTATACCACAGAGTTTATGGACATGTTTTACAAGCACCATAGAGTTTATTCTAGACGGGGTATTTTGCTCTACGTGTTATCTTGCAATCTGCTTTTTTTTTTTGTTTAACAAAACACCCTGGAGACATTTCCATATCAGCACAAACAGAATTGCATCATTCTCTCTGTCAAATGACATTTCATTGTAAAGACGTACCATAGTTTCTTTAACCACTCCCCCCACCCCATTTGGTGGTCACATAGCTATATTTTTCTCTCTTTGCAAAGAGCAATGGACTAAGTAAAGAAAATGGCATTTCTTAGAGATCCATAGTCCAAAGAAAGCTTCTAAGTATTAAATCCCAAGGAACTAGAAATGGTGGCAGGGAGCAAAGAAACCTGTAGATTCCAGGTGATCAGACAGGATATAAGCCCAGGACACATGTTGACAGTTGTTCTCCCAAGAACAGTAATATACAATATTGTCAGTCACTGACCGCAGAGCAGCTCTTGCTGCCCAGCCCCTGGTACTGTGCTCCCACGAGTGAGGTGAACCTGGGACCCCAAGGTTCGTTTTCAGTCTGATGTGCAACTGGATGGTCAAGTGTTCACAGCACTGGGCATTAAACTCCCACAGGGTCTTTTCACGCTGCTTTGAATCTTACTCATCATGACAGACAGTTTTAGTCAGCTACCTGCCTTCTTTCCCTTCTTCCCACATACCATGATTTTGTTTAGCTCTTTTGATTACCCTGGTTTTGTTTAGGATGGTGATGGCCTAGCTGCAGAAGTTGAATCATGATTAGTCTAAGTCATTCACTGGCATTCACCAGATACATTTCTAGTGTCCCTTACAGGGAGGACTGGTTCATATAGCCATTCTGGCCAATATAATCTAAGCAAAAGGCAGCTGAGGGACTTTGTAGAAAGCCTTTATATTCTGAATAAATAATCAGATATTGCTGGTACCACTCTACCCTCCTTTTTTGTCTTAAACACGGATATAATATTTAGAGCTATGGCCACCATCTTGAGACATGCAGTAAACAAAATTGAAAAGGTGTCATGCTGAAGATTTGGAGTGGAAAGAGGGAAACCCACAGAGATTTTGATTACATTGTTGAGCTGCTGCAACAGCTATAGACTGTCTACCCATAGACTTTTTATTATGGAGAAAAATAAGTCTGCTTTTAAAAAAGTTACTGCTTGCTGAGTTTTCTCTTACTTGCAGCTGAGAGTACTCCTGATGCATTTTCTGCTTCTCCACAAGCTTTGTAGGCACAGTGACTCTGTCTGATATGATTCCTATTGAATCACTGGTGCTAAGAGCCATGTGTGGGACACAGAAGGCACTTGATGAATGAATAAGCTGAATCAATGAGTATATTTTTAGATACTTAGAGCTTCTCTATAAGAGCATTAGCATTTGGGGGATACCTCTTTCCTGATTCTCAGACAATCCCCACTTTTCTGGCTCAGCAGAGGTGGAAGTTCCCTGGACAGGGTTCATAATACCTAGGCCACTGCAGAATTATCTGTGCTATATAATGTCCTTCAACTCACAACTTCATTACTGGGAAAAAAAGATATCAAATCACTCTATAAAAGCTGAAAAAAATTCTTTTCATCCTTTCAAACCAAATAGTCTTGGCTAGAGTCAGAGTGGAATAGTCTTATATCAAATTGTGCTCATCAGCAAATAGTGAGCTAGCAGAGGAGAGATCAGGGAAAGCCTCCCACTTGGTGATTGCTAAGTCAGGGAATGTTGGCTGACACATTATCCAGGCTGAAGAATATCTACTGGAAAGTGAAGTGGTTCTTTAGTGGAGAAAAAAATATTTTAAGAGTCTAATTAACTATTGACATATGAAAACATTGATTTTTTAAAAGCATCCTGAGTTTGTTGAGTGTAATTAGACTCTTATAGGTAAGTCAGGCCATGTATAGGTGCAAAACAAGGACTGAATTAGCCTATAATCATCAGATTTTTGATAAATATAACTGGGACTAGTAGCATCTTAATTTTATGGTGTGGTATAGAAGGAAGGGTTTTTGGAGTTCACAAACCTAGTTGGAATCCAGCTTTCAGCCCTTACTATGTGACTCTGGGCCAGTACTGTTTCTCCGAGTCCTGGTTCCCTTTTTTATGATACTACAAATCTCATAGGGTGTTATGAATGTTTAAATAAAATCATACAGGCAAAATACCTGGCACATATTATTACTAATGCTACCACCTCTAATACCACTACTATTAACGTCACTACTATTACCACCATCACTACTATTTCCATTATTATCACCACTACCACCACCATCACCACCATTATTTGTAATGGAAAAGGTAACGCAGGTTTCCCTTCATTGCTAGTTCTCTTTTATTCCAGATAAAGGTGCTTTAAATGAAGAAGACAAACCTACCTTTTGATGAATTAGGAGGGAAGACACATGGAATCAAATTTCTTTTCCCTCTTGAAAAGAAATCACCTTTCCTTGGGTTTTAGAAGGGCCATCTGGCAGGTGAACTGCCCTCACTGTTTTGGCCCAGGGAGGTAGGAGAAATGCTGCCTGCCTGCTGCCACTCCTGACCTGGCTTCAGAGTAGTATATTGGATTTGATGGCTTTGTAGGAGGCATGCCACCTCCTTCTGCTACCTTTCTGTTCGCAGGGCTGTGGGTTTCTGTCTCTGTTCTCCAGGAAGAATGTATGATTTCCTTCCTGGTTTCCCCTCTCACCTGAGTCCCTGAATGGAAGAGATAGCTCCCTTTGGCCCCGGCAGATGCTGCATGGGTATCATGCAAAGTATGTAAACCAACTATGTTTAAGGGTTTCATCTGGTGACGTACATAAATAGATGTGTACTTCTTAGTCTACTATGCTATCATTTAAAAATGTGAAGTCTCAAATACAAAAAAACCCAACCCCCAAAACAAAAAAAACAAAACAAAGTCTGTTCTCATGGTGGGTGTGAGGAGCAATGCAGCCAACGTGGGGCTCTGTCCTTTGGGTCCCTGCTCCCCCAGTCAGAGGGGGCTCTCTCCACTAATGAGTGTAATGATGATAAACAGTGCTTCAAATTTGTAAGGAGTGCTATGACTTTCTTTCTTAAAAATACCTTTTCCTTACTAAAATTGTAATGTACCTGCACTCTGGAAAATACAGATAAGGAAAATGAGGAACATAAAAGTACTCATAATCAGAGTGTACCAGCATTCGCAATGCACATGCTTTCAGTTTTTTTCCTATGTGTGTTTATACACTTTATTTCTGAATGGAATGTAATCATACTTTATACTAGTCTTCAGCATATTTTCATTAATGAGTGAGAAATCACCAACAGCTGTCTGTGTCTTTTGATACCTACCTTCAACTTCATTTGTTTCCATGGCTCGTACAATTCTGTTACAGGGCGAACCACTGCTTACTATTTGATATTAATGGTTCATCATTATTATTTTGAAAATGTTGTTTTCTTAATTTAAAAAATGACTATATGTTACATAATGATTTACTGTATTTTGCCATGTTTAATGAGAACGTTTTGCCCAAACTTTGGAGGGAAAAATAAGGATGTGCATTATACATGGGTAGGACTAATTTCATATCTATATAAGTGTTTTTAATTCTTTTATGTTTATGCATTAGAAGTTTAACTCTAGAAAGCAATAATAACATCCATATGTAAAATAATACCTTGGAATATGATAATTTGTTTTGTAGCTAAATATAAATAAATAAAAAAGTGAATTAAAAAATTAAAATGAAAGACTTTTTCCTGAAAGTTTGGGCTAAAAACATGGGCATGTAGTATACACAGGAGCACATTATACATGGCAAAATATGGTATATTTGTTCAAAGGAATTAAAATATATTTGTTAAAACTATTTTCCAGAACAAAAATTATTTTTTTTTCTTTTCCCAGGGAAAATGTTTTATTTATTTATTTATTTAGTATTTATTTATATTGTTCTTGCTTATTCTATTACAATTGGTTTATTATTTAACCAGTTCCCTGTGGTTGAACATTTAGGTTATTTACATT